CCGACACATGTTACATTAACCGAAGTATCAAGTGATTATATCTTTTACAATTTGATGAAGACCACGCGAAGGGCCCGGGCACATAACGCACCTGTCGCTCAACTACCCAAGGAGCTATAGCATTGTGTCCTTATGTTTCAAACCATAGAATGACCACGAGATATGAATTAACACTTAAATTTCCAGAGAGGTGGTCGACTGTCGCGAGAGTGCCAGGTGAAAAGCAGGCTCCCGTGACTTCGGAGGGGAGTTGTCACGGGAAGTGGACAGAGCGAGAAAGATGTGTGCGTGTCTCACTTCTAAAGACGTCACCCCGACAGACAAATTGTCGTAATTACGCGGCTTTTGTATCTACATCATAGGCAATGTGTGAGCTAATTATTACCGTCCCCCTTCTGTGAATGGCGTTTTGACGAAATAAAGAAAAGAAAATAATGAGGAGACGAATTATCTTTTAAAGATGGTGTGGCCAATTCCATGTTATAGTAAATCGCACGACATACTACAGTCGTTAGATGCTGTTAATTTTCATATTCATTGCATAACCGTTTCAATTGTGTTAGCACACGGATGATTTGAATAATCAATCAAATGCGACAACAAATTCGTTTAAAGGGTCTTGAAATGACAAATAATTCTATCTTTCAGGTGTGCTTTAATGATGCGCTTTAAAAAGTGCGTATAACGTCTCTATTGAATTATTACGCTACAGACGCCTATTTTCATTGGATTATTATCAAACACACAATATCTGTTGGATTCATGATTATAAAACAAGTCAATATTTTTTCCATTTTATGTTAAAATCTTTAATTAAAATGTTACAATTAGCGTTATTTCTAATGCTAATGAAATACATAAAATATTAATTAAAAGCATTAGCATTTTTCTCCTCCTTTTATCAATAAAAACAAAAGAAAGTGAAAAGATAAAAGAAAAGATAAAAAGAAAAAGAAATCGCTTTGACAGAAATTAAATATTAACTAATATTTGTTAAATAATTTACAATTTTTTGCTTGTGTAAAATATTTTTTTAAAATATTTTTTTTAAGAAAGGAAAAAGAACTCAATTCTAAACCAATTAGCTTAACAAAAAAATGTCAAATAAATGTTTACATACACATTAAAGCTAAATGCGTCCCCTGACTTCATCATGTCCCAACTATTTGATAATTCAGGCGAAATGGACTTAAGATAACTCTATGCTGTTCAAAGTTCCTTTGGCAACTTCTTAACAAGTTATCACATAATATCATTTTCTACAATTTGTTGGCCTTCACTATATACCAGAGGTTAGCAATGGGTCGCTTTTTATCAGGGATGCATACCCTTATGTGGGATTGCACTGCCAAGAAATGAAGTCAAGACTAAATTTAGACTGAGTACATATCTATAGATATTGATCACGGATGTGAAATATTTTGAGGTTTTGAATTTTTTCTCTCCTAATCTATTTTGTATTTCTTTCTCTCTGTGAGTTGAAAATGTGTCTAAGTGGACACCAAGGGGTAAGACTTTTGTTAGAAATCGCGTGTGTTTTGTTATAGTGTGACCAGCATGTAAAGTGTGAAATACAAACAAATTCAGATTGTGGCATTGTTACTTATTATACCCTGTCACAAATACCTCGCAATGTAAACTTTTCTTCCGTGAAAAAGATATGATGCATCATTACTATTCATTGAAAATATCCATAAATAAGTAAACAAATTATTAAGTAATAATAACTTTTCAACTAGATGCAATACTTTTAAATTAAACTTTAAAACATTTGCAAACTTTTAATGTGAATTAAAAAATGAATTTAAAAAAAATGTAGAGAAAATATTTGAATGAATAAATTGATATCATCAATCATTTTCAAACAGCTTTAAATATCCAATCATTTACGAGCTAAGTTTGATGATATTGAAAACTAGTAAAATTTACAAAACAAAAATAAAAGTTAACAATTTTATAATATGAATTGAGATATTAATAACGAAAAAAAATGTATAAATAATCGCTTCTTACTGTGTGATGTTTCTTCTTCGCTTGAAAAAATCTTCAGTGAAAAAGCAAACTTCCACAAGGAAAAAAACTTTTTGATAAAAAAAATATTTATCCTGTAAAATGGAAGTGAGATCGGTCTTGACGCCTAGTTCGACTCACACTAGAGACTTTGTTCTCCGAGATCTCATAGATCACTATTAATATATTAAATAAGGTCCTTGAGAGAAGAAATCTTGATTGAACGAAGGGAAAGCCACATCCCACTGCACGCGACTTTCGCAAGTCGATGTAAATCCCATTCATTAAATACTCATGAAAAGCCATCAAGTGTTGTGTCTTGACAATCTCCTTATTGGTTCTATGCTAATGAGCAAAACCAAGCCCCGCCCCCAAATTGTGCCAGCTCTTGGAACTGAAGTGGCTGCGGATCGATAGAGTATAAACTGAAGATTTTATATTGTGCTGAATAGCGTAAACATATTGTATTAACCGTATCGATCGCAGGGATGTGGTTTTTATTCTCTTAATTTAAATATTTCCCTTCTTCGCCATCGATTTTTGTCTAAATATTTAATAAGTTGTTTAAATAGAAGTCAAATTTGTTGGTGCAAGTGATGGTGAACAGAAGGGGTATACGGATGTTATTTCGTACTTGGAGACACTGGGAAATTTACTTTGTTCATAGCATTTTTATGCATTTTAATTATTTTTATTAATTTAAGTAATTTTACAAAATAAAAAAAATATCACCATAATAGTAGAGATATATTAAATCTAAATGGACTTTAGTTTCATGATTTAAAATATATATTTACTTTGGGTATAGATCTTTTCATTTTACTATAACCTTAAGATGTGCATTATTTATAAATAACAATTATAACCATTTCTAATTTGTAAGAGAATAAGGTTGTATTTTATTTGATAAAGACTATTTCTACAAAATTTGATTTTGAAAATTTTGAAATTTCTACCAACAAAAATTATGTTTATTTTCCCTGAAGGAACTTAGATTAAAGAAAAGATTTAGACAATGATTTTTTTTTTTTTGTAAATCCTTCTGAAAACTATTGCTGCTAAATGTACATGTAAGATCTGTAGATATTTTAAAGAAATATTTTGGTATTGCAGGATGATAATTTTCATTTTCAGAAACCGAAGTCCAAGAATGTAGGCGCGTGCCAATTTGCAGTTTTGACCTATTCCAAGTGTTGAATGAAATTGTAGTGTCACTTGCCATTTATTGGACTTGGGACTCAGAATAGCTCATAACTCCAGAAAGGTGACAGATTAGGCTAGAAATAGTGAAAAAAATGAAATGTTAGAAATTTGTTATCACGAGTGATTTAAAACTATCAATTGTATAGAATATCATCAGTGTAGTTATTTATTTCAAATAAATTTGTAGTCTTGAAACAAAATATATATTCCGGTTAATATTCCCACTGTCCAGTATAATTTTAGTCTCTTGCACTTTTTGATCTTTTTTGCTATCTTCTTCTCTGTTTTTCTTTTTCGTTTATTTAATTTTTAATTTTTGTAAGTTTGTTGTTTTCTTTTTAATTACTGCATTGCATTATTTAAAAACAAAAAAAACTTTGAAAACCAGTCGAATATTATATCCGAAAATTATTTTCTTCATTTTCCTAAAGAATATATTACATATCAAATCCAAGTCTAAGATACTGTTTGATGCATAAAAGTGCGAAAGAAGAAAAAATCATTTAAACAATTTATCCGGCTCAAAATCAACTTTCACCACCTTGTAATGAAAGGGGGATAGGACACTGGGTGGTGGAAGAGGTACCGGGTATTAAAAGTCAGGTTCATTTCAGAAAAGCTACACAATAAAACTTTCAATGATAAATCATTACTTTAAGTAAAAAAGAACAATTTTCGGTATACAATATCGAACTTTGTAATACAAAACTTTTTTTCCCTGTTTGGTGTTTAAATGTTTCGGAGATGACAGGGAGATAAAAAATTGCATGCAACAGCAAAGGGCCATTTGATAGAAAAATTAAAAATAACCTGAGAAAGAATTATGTATCGACTTTAAAGAAAAAAAACCCTTTAGTTTATTGTTTGCTGTTCCCTGACGCATGTAGACGGTTTTGTCTTACAGGATGCATTAAACCTAGAGAGATACCGAGCGTATAGAAAGCTGTGTCTAACTGTCAATAGCACGTGTTCCTCTGTCGTCTTAATTATGTTAACAGGTGTCACAAGTGCTTCTGCAGTTAAAAGTTGCATATTCATGCTCTTAGGTACTGTTAGGATATTTAGACATTTTTTTTCAATTTCTCGCCATCGTTCACCGTTTAGTGACACTTACATAATGGGGTGAGTTGATGAGAATATGACAGAAATATGTCAAAATATGCTCGAATAAATTAAATATTCAGAAAGAGGGGCCACAATATGAACATTTTAATCTAGATCTCATTAATGAGCTTAACGATAATTTTCATCACATACAAACTACTTTCGGGGTGGGGGGGGGGGGGGGGGGGGGGGGGCTACAGCATGGAGACAATTCACTGTGGTCTGTAGATATTTCAGGTTCGGAAAATAAAATATAAAATTGTAAATAAATTCATAATGTCAGATCATCATCAGTAAAACTGAACTTTTAAAATTATTCATTAGCATAAGTTAAGATTTCTGTGCTGCTGCAAGTAATGTCAGGAGGAAGCATTACCTAACGATGTACAACATTTTAACTTGATCAAATTTGCTTTAACAATATCTTTGAGGTAATTTTCAGTATTTCAGAAACTAATATGGTCAATAGCAATTGATTATCGATCAGTTAAAAAAAATCCCACCATCATTAATATTGGAAGATCTCCTTTCCTCATTGAGCACCAACATAACTCCAAACCAACTTGTTTATTATTCTTCGAAAATAATTTAATATTATATTTAGGCCTAATTTATTTATCATAATTATGTTCAACTTAAGCATTAGACCAAAGAGAGATAACTCTTACTGACAGCTGTAATGACAGCAGTGTGTCCCTTCCTGTATTTAGCCTGCTCCAAAAATGGCTGGCATGTTGACGCAAGGACGGCGCGTCGTGCCACATATATTTCGAGGGTTTTCTGGTTGTAGAGCTATAACCTATGGATTAAAGGTATGAAGTTGAAAGAAGCAGTATTTTTCAATGATAGCACAAACATGTAAGGGAACTACGACATCGTAGCTAATTGGTGATGACTTCATCTTGAAGGACACTTATTTGCTTCCTTTGGACAAGTTTGATGTTTTACATTTTTAGTTACTGTAGATAAATTACAGTAGCAAAAAGTCAGGGTAATTTTCATGAGAAATACTATAAAGTACAACCGGATAAATGAAATCTAGGCCTTACAAAAAATTGTGTCGTGATAGGTGAAAGATAAACCAGATTGTACATTAACTCGAATTTCCTCGGAAAAATAAACAAGAAAAGCAATGCAAAAAATCAGATTAATAATGGTTAGAAGGGCACCAGTTTTTTTTTTGTTAATTGAGTTGTAGTAATTAAAGATTTTTTTTTTGATAAAGGAAAATGAAAAAAAAACCCAAACATTTGTGACTTCTTAATTTTATCCTTTCTTTCATATGTTTCAATCATTCACTTCAGTGGTATTCTTTTTATTCTTTTCCCTTTATTACAAAGTAAATGATTAGAGTTTTAACAGGCTAGGGACTGAGGTTCTCTTCTGACCTTACAACAATTAAATTATGTTTTTTTTTTATTTCAAAGCGGCATTTTTGTCGGTCACTTTGGCTGGTAGGGGGTCCTTAATAGGGAAATCACTGCTTATATTGTTATTTTTCTGTCCTCAGTCACTTGTATATTTTGTTAGTAAATGAGCATGATAATTTGCCCCCAAAATGTTGAATTGATCCATTGTTTATCATTAATAAGTTGACCTTTGATTTTTATTTCAGAGTTCAAGACAAGTACATCATGCTTTGAGTGAGTGCAATCTACACGAACACACCTCACATTTAACCTCTTTTTATATTATATATTCAATTTTTTTCAACAATATCAAATTTTGATTTGCAGTCTTAACAAAATTTTATTACAAGTGAATTAAGTGACTTTTATGTGAAGATTAAGGCATTTAACATTGAAGCATAAAAAAAGTGGTATTTTGATAAGAGCCATTTATCACTAAAAGTATGTTGCACTTGATAATTATGTTCACAATCTGACATTGATTTTTAAGGTGCGGGCCAGAAAACCGACTTTCCTTTAGCAGAGTGAGTATAGAATTACCGCCCCTATTTGTAGTGCCATATCTTATAACTACCCTCATGTCTTCCCATGCTGACTGATATTTAATGAAGTTTGTCTGAGAAGTTAATTTTAAGCTGGAAGGAAAGATGTCTTTTTTTTACAGTAAATATCAGATGATGACATTTTGCAATCATTTTTTATTACTTGTTTGATAGTGGGGGAACAGGTTAAAACTGTTGATCAAAGATTGGTCTGTCAAAAATTGGAAAAAAATGAATATGACTTAAAAGATTTGAACTGTTTGTTTGAAAGAAGACTAGAATAAGTTTTTTTTTATTATTTTTTTTTTTTAATTTTTTTTTACATCAGAGTCTTTATTCTGTGGACTTCATAAAAATACTGATATTTGAAAATTGTATCATTTTTCTATTAGAAATCCTCCTCTTTGATATACTTGAGTGTGAAACACTGTATTTTTTTTACAGAAAATAAACTTATTTTTTTTTTATAAATAATACAAATCGTTGTTTACTCTTATTAGGTACCAGAAAAAACAGACATGGGCCAGAAATTTTCATGTGTCATCCGTGTTCTGTAAGTCTGAGGTTTTGAATTAATGAGGACTTTTTTCAAAGCTTTTTGCACCACTGCATTTCATTTACGGATAAAAAAAAAATCTTTCATTTACTAAATATTATTTTAATTTACCAAAAATTTTTTTACTTCTGTCAACATTGGAATATATATTCTTTCAGATCAAGATATAAAGGAGGTCAAGTGCCCTGGATTTTCTGAGTCCATTTCAGAGGGGGATGTCAGGTGGGAGAAAGGTAAGCCAAAAAAATTGGTGCCACTCTGATTATTTTGTACTCTTGTGATAAAATGTGCTGAGCTACATGTAATTACTGTAAAATCATATTTTCGAGGGGTCAAATTTTCGTGGTTTGAGGAAAATATATTGGTTCATGGGGATTTGATTTCGTTGATGAAGAATTGATCATATGTGAAAAAATGCATTTTGTGGTGGACATAGATTTGTCGGTCTTTTCATACCTTGAAATCCACAAAAATTAACCCCCACGAAAATTAGTGATTTCACAGTACATGAATGTAGTGATATGTATGAAGTGAGGTACATAAGATTATATGTGAGTTATATATGATTACAAATAATAGGCTACGTGAGATTATATGTGAGCTATGTATGATTACATGCAGTGAGCTACACACGATTATATGTTATATGTAAGCTATGTATGATTACATGTAGTGAGCTACACATGATAATATGTGAGCTATGTATGATTACATGCAGTGAGCTACACACGATTATATGTAAGCTATGTATGATAATGTGTAGTAGGCTACGAGATTGTATGTGAACTAGGTATGATTACATTTACATGTAGTAGGCTACATGAGATTATATGTGAGCTATATATGATAACATGCAGTGAGCTACACACGATTATATGTAAGCTATGTATGATTACATGTAGGGAGCTACACACTTTATATGTAAGCTATGTGTGATTACATTTACATGTAGTAGGCTACATGAGATTATATGTTGTTAGGTACATTTGATACATGTAACTGCATCCAAACACTGTATATCAGGTTTTTTCCGCGTCATGTTTTTTCTGCAAATCAGAACCTAAATCAGTATATTAAATTTACGCCAATCAAATTTTCACCTTATGTTGCGTACTAACTCTCAAATCCACAGATATTATTTTTAAGATTCAAACAATCATAGGTCATTTTTGCTGTTCCATTTTGACTAGCAGCTCAGGTATAATTAGAAGAGGTTCTCGCAAGGAATGTGACCAATATAAATAGCTTGTCAATTAGTAAACAAACAATAGGGCTCATACCTATTACCGGTATCTTGCGCTTGTCCTCTGATCCCTCTATTTCTACCCTCTACGATATAAGTATTAAGAAATAATTCTACTGCAAGAAGAAAACTTTGTATTAAATTTACACTGTTTTATTTTCCGCGATTCAGAACTCGTCGCGAACAAAGCGGAAATTGGATACACACGGAAAAATCCTGATATACTGTATAATGAGCTACATCATGGTATTACGTAGACTGAAGCACATGTTTAAGCAACCCTAAGTAATAAATGTATTTACCTAGTTTTATTTTGGAGGGTAATTTCAAATGTGTTATAGATGTATTTAGAAGTTAAGGTACAGAACTTGCCAAAACAATGATAATATTATTATTAACTGTTGAAGATATCTAGCATGTATACATTAGATAATTTTACATCGTATTATTAGAGATTAAATTGTATGTTTTATTTTGTTTGGCAGCTGTTGGTGATTTTGTACAGGAGGATGAGACACTGGGAGAAGTGGAGACAGACAAGGTAAACAATTAAGATTAATACAGGGTTATTTTCACCCTGAGTTCTTTCCGCCCTTTCACACTTGCAAACGATTTTTCCCCATTTTAAATTCACCCAGTTACAGTTTTGTTTAAGAAATTATACTGCTTTTTTTATTCACCCCATTTTAATTTCGCCCGTCTGTGAGTATGGCGAAAGGGGCAACAATAAATGGGGGCAAAAATTTCCCTGTATACAGTAGATAAGGAATACTGAGGGTTCACCCCCCCCCCCAAAAAAAAATTGAAAATGAATGTAAATTTAATGGAAATTGAGTAATTTGAAAAGCCAAATTTTCAAACAACAGTTTGTTTTTGCAAGATGATTATTTTGTATTTATAGGCAAGACATAATTTCCACAAACTCTGATTTATTCTTTATTTAATCGTTAATGCTACAAATTAAGGTGAGAATTAAATTTTTTTCAAGCAGGCATTTTTGCATAGCTATGTGCAAATGAAGTTCTAGGATATGAAAGGTGATTTATTGTAATTTACTCAAGTAAAAAAGAAACTGGAATTAAACATTGGTAAACAAATAATACATGTACTCTGATTGTTTTTAGACAGGAGTGCCTATTCACAGTCCATACACAGGGGTCATTGTAGAACTTCTAGTGGAGGATGGAGCCACAGTTCAAGCTCATCAGCCTCTCATGAAGATAGATATTTCAGGTAAATCTGCTTCATTTATTGATGAGGGAACAGTTAATTTGCACTGGACTGACTTGTTACAATAAGTATTTGCTTGGTGAAAAAATACACATATAATTATACAATTTGCATACAAATCTTTTGACTTACCCATGTATTTTGGGATTCTTTTTATGTTAGTTTCTCCATTAGTTCCACTATGGTGTTAATTTTTGGGGATTTTATCCTCCACCCAATATCAATGAAATTGAAAGTAAACATTAACAATTTCTCCATTCTTTCAGATTATTGAAAAAAATCTATAAAAGTAAACTGATATTATGGAGATCAGTGCCTCATACCCAAATGGGAGATATAGCTGTAATGAAAATTTTTACACAGTTTAATTTCTCTTTAAAGCTTCAGGGGACGCTCCTGCCAAGAAAACAGAGGCACCTGCAGCGGAAAAACCCAAACCTGCCGCAGAAAAGCCTAAGGAAGAGGCACCACCAAAACAAGCCCAAACCAGCTCCAGCGGCCCCATTCCAACCACCCCTCCCCCTCCCCCACCTGTACCAAAGGCACCCATGTCCTCTTACCCTACCTCAAGTGTCAAGGTCACACCTTTTGAGGGGTCAGTGGCACAAGGGGGTGCTAGAACAGAAACAAGGGTTAGTTAAATGTTTTACTGTCAAAAGACTATACTATTATGTAAGAATTATTTGATTTTATTGCATTGAATGTGTTATTGTCTTTATTCAGACAAAGATGACGAGAATTCGTCAGAAGACAGCCCAGAGATTAAAAGAATCTCAGAACACATGTGCTGCACTAACAACCTTTCAAGAATGTGATATGAGGTAAATTTAACATTATAAGACATCACTGCTGCAGCAAACAATATTTGTGGGTACATGTAATTTCTGTGAAGAAATTATGTCTGTTTTTAACATACTGTAAATTACCTTTTATTGGCATATGAAAACAACATTATTTGTCTGATTTTTGAACATATAAGAATTTTTTTTTTTCATGAATAAAAAAATGGGGGGGGGAAGAAAAGTTATTTTTAATGTTTATATAAAGTGTTGTAGTGCAAACTTATGCTGTATACTATATAACCTTTATCATATTCATAGCAATCTCATGGAGTGGAGAAAAACATACAAAGACCAGTTTGAAAAGAAGCATGGAGTGAAGTTAGGAATGATGTCTCCTTTTATTAAGGCTGCTGCCTTTGCTCTGAAGAACCAGCCTGTTGTGAATGCTGTGATTGACGGAAATGAAATTATTTACAGAGACTATATAGACATTTCTGTAGCTGTAGCATCCCCAAAGGTACTGTAGGACTCAGTGATCTTGTCCAGATTGTTAACTACTTGAAAAAAAGGTGGTATTTGCATTAAGTGAAAGTACACAAGATTCATTATCTGAATTAATTATTACCTTTTTTATCAGTTCAAAGATGTCCTCTTTTATACATCCTTCTTGGAATTCCATGTCAACGTACTTCAGATTTACACTACTAGTATATGACAAAAACAGTGTACCTATTGAAATCCATATTGATTATTAGTTTGATGTAAGTTTAAATAAGACGAAAATAATTGAAAACATTTGATTTCTTTACCAGGGTCTGGTTGTACCTGTTATCAGGAATGTGGAGACACTGAGTTATGCTGACATTGAGAAAAACATCCTAGACTATGGAGAAAAGGTATGGAGCGTTGAAATTTTGTGTAACAACAATGGGAAATTAAAAAGTTATCCCAGTAAGAACTTTCTGTTGTAAAAGTAATTCATAAATTTCAGTACTGAAAAAAAAAGTCAGGTTATAAGATTTAGACATTTGTAATAATATTATTGTGACATAGGATATCTGCAACTACTGATAATGCTACAATATCCAGGACTTAATAACCCTTGCATCCAGTTCCTGTTAAAGGACCCTAGCCTAATTGAAAATTTACCCTTTTTTCCCAAAATTTAGGTAAAAAAATCCCAAATGACAAGCAGATTTAATTTTAAAGTGCTTTATACAGTAGATTAAAATATATTGAATTTAGGGATGTCAAATCGGTCAATTTTTAATACTCGGTTACTCGGACGTTTTTCCGATCGAGTACCCGGGTACTCGGTAAAATTCTTAATAAATATGAATTTAATTCATAACTGTAAAACATTGCAAACTCTTGTAGGAATAAAACCACATGGTCTGATGGGAGGTTTACTTGTTAGATTAAATTTAGGACCCTTTTTGGTACAGGTTCCTGTACCCTAATAATTGAAAATTTTTAATTGAAAAGTGGAAAAACTTGGAGATACAACATAGCTCATATTAAGTTTAAATGTTGAATAAAGAGTTACTTTGAACGATTATTCCTTAATCACATCTTTATTCTTCATCAAAATCTTACAATTCAATTAGGGATGTCAACGAGTACCTGGTTAACCGGGTACTCAATCGAACGTCCGAGTATCGAATACCAAAATCGGTACTCGGTTACTCGGATGTATATTTTTAAATATTTCTAAGCTTATTTATCAATGCATTAAAACATCGGTTTTAAAACGTAAAATGTTCATTGCACTTGTAAATACAGTAATTAGGGTTTCCTGCGCCTCTAAATGACCGTTATCGCCTGTGGCAGTGTTTATACAGTAATTACCGTGACCAAGCACCTGTTACCTGGCTTTTCTCACCTTCGGCTGCCTTCTACCCTTATGTTTAGTTTTCTTTAATTATTTCTTTTCATTGAACATCGTTTAAGGTCTATATTACCGTGAACCATTTATGATTTTATTTCTCGTATTTATCTGATAAATAAACTGAACTTTAAAAAATTGTTAGATTAAATTTCGTCGAGCACAAAGTGGTCATAATTGTTACAACACATTTACAATTTTTTAAAGTTCAGTTTATTTATCAGATAAATACGAGAAATAAAATCATAAATGGTTCACGGTGGTTTTGTTTTAAATGAAATAATCTGATCCCTAATTGTAACGTAACTCTTTGGTTGCTTTTGACGTCCAAGGGATCAGTCATCAGAGCTACAGTATCAACTTGATCAAGTTCTCCTATTTCAGAGCGGGTTTATGATCTTCGTACACTTTTCAATCCTAGATTTCAAAAAATTACGAGACGGTATGTAATAGTTTGGTGCAACGATGAACATAAGATTTTTAAAGCCTTTGCCTTCAACCATTTGCATTAATTGGCATGTAATCAAATGCATCCATATCAACAATCGCACGTGCAATATTGTCTGTCTCTTTCCCTAAGAATTTACGGCTTCTTGGAGAATTGACAAAATTATCTAATTTATTTAAACATAATATAGACCTTAAACGATGTTCAATGAAAAGAAATAATTAAAGAAAACTAAACATAAGGGTAGAAGGCAGCCGAAGGTGAGAAAAGCCAGGTAACAGGTGCTTGGTCACGGTAATTACTGTATAAACACTGCCACAGGCGATAACGGTCATTTAGAGGCGCAGGAAACCCTAATTACTGTATTTACAAGTGCAATGAACATTTTTCGTTTTAAAAACCGATGTTTTAATGCATTGATAAATAAGCTTAGAAATATTTAAAAATATACATCCGAGTAACCGAGTACCGATTTTGGTATTCGATACTCGGACGTTCGATTGAGTACCCGGTTAACCAGGTACTCGTTGACATCCCTAATTGAATTGTAAGATTTTGATGAAGAATAAAGATGTGATTAAGGAATAATCGTTCAAAGTAACTCTTTATTCAACATTTAAACTTAATATGAGCTATGTTGTATCTCCAAGTTTTTCCACTTTTCAATTAAAAATTTTCAATTATTAGGGTACAGGAACCTGTACCAAAAAGGGTCAATTAAGCTCTAATGTTTCTCATTTGATATTGTTGCACTATGAGCTGATTATTTTTATAGACTACATATTAAAGATATCTTATTTTGAATATATTTAACTATTTGCTGCATATCTTATTTGAAATATAGGTTTATAAAATAAAAATGTCTTTTTAAAAAGGAAAAATTGTGATATTAACTTCTTGTTAAATCTTTTGTGTTTGTGTGGAAATTTATTGATGAATCATGGTTGTGTATTTCTAGGCAAAGAAGAACATGTTAGCAATAGAGGACATGGAAGGAGGGACATTTTCTATCAGTAATGGGGGTGTATTTGGATCTCTCTTTGGAACCCCTATAATTAATCTACCACAAAGTGCTATCTTAGGAATACATACTATTAAGAAAAGACCAGTAGTTGTTGATGATCAGGTATGTACTCATCTCAAAAGGTATTTCCCATGCTGCTTTTTGGAAGAAAGAGTCATTTTGGCTTTAAAGCCGAGGCCCTTGTAATCATGATAATTCTTTACATGTTAAGATTTTGTATAGTACTATGAAATATCACTAAAAACTCAATTATATAAGCTGTTGTTTTGTAGCTTGAATGTTAATTCTCTATGCCAATCACTTATTAAGCTCACTTTCAAAAAATACACATTTTGTCAATCAATTTTTGTCATTTTATTGATCAAAATACACCTTGATTATCAACTTAATTTTGATACATTTATTGCAGTAAATCATTATTTTGTACTGTATATATAGAGGATATTCAATGTTTTGTCGTTGAATATGGAATTTATTTCACGAGTGGGACAGGATTATTTTTTTTATATTTTCACGAGTGCGAAGCACGAGCGAAAATATCAAAAAATCATGTCTCACGAGTGAAATAAATTCCATATTCAACGACTAAATATAGAATTTTCTGTTAAATACATTTATAAAATAATTCTTTGATTTTTCCTTTGCCTCTGTCTTTTTGTAATAAAGTCATAGGCTCGTGACGTCATAGTTGAGCGGTTGAGACGTCATAGCTAAGTGAGGTGAAAAGTTTTACACTGTAAACATGGATTTAGCAACATATTTTTGGTAATTTTGACAGTTTTATTCGCTGTCAGAATGGTTTATTTATTTCCATCGATCTTATATTAGGTCAAGGAAGATTTTTTACAGCAATCTTCGTTATTGGAAGGGAAATCGAGAGTTTTCCCGCACTTCTGATATTTGTCACACTGTGACAGGATATCATTTTGATATCCTTTCACACTGTGACAGGATATCATTTTTATTCAATGAATAAATTAAAGTATTTCACGGGTAAAAATGTAATAAACCTGTATATACCTGTATACTTTCATGTTTCTTAATCAGTAATAATTTTCTCTGTGTTTTCAGATTGTGATTCGCCCTATAATGATTCTGGCTCTTACTTATGATCATAGACTTATTGATGGTCGTGAGGCTGTGACATTCTTAGTGGACATCAAGCGAGCAATAGAAGATCCCAGAGTCATGCTTCTAGATATCTAGTTATGTGGCAAAGATAGTGCACAGAAACAGTTTAATAAGAAATTGTAAACATACATGTCTGCAGCCTTGCTCAGGACTTTATTTTTATTAACTTAATCCTCATGAGAATTTCTTTTAAAAAGTGCTTTTGGAGTGCTTTGAGATCTTTACTGTGTTTTAAGTTAAGATTTCTGCAGAAAGTGGATATTTTGATTAAATTCAAAATATTTTCATCTGAAATATATAAGATCTGCTTACATTAAATTTAGCTTGATTTTGGGGTAGATGTTCTCCTATCAGATATACATGTTTATTGTTTTATACTGGTAAATTAAAGTTTGAAGGTACTTGTATTAAAACAAATTACTGAAAGAAATTCCCATCAAGGGGGGAATTTAAGAGGCATAATTTATGGACATTAATTTATATTGATAACTTGAATCAAATATGTTGAACAATAAAATATTTTTCCTTTATTTTTTTTTAACTTTGTTTTGTTTAAACAGGATTGAAAGTCAAGTTTCTACTTGAACATTTCCTGAGTACTGTTTCTGTTTTAAAAGTAGAAATTGGTTTTTATTGAAAAGTAAAATCCAAAACCCATGATCAATCATGTATTTGTTATTCTTCAAAGAATTTTCCCATATATTCTATGTACAACTCATTTTGGCACCCATTGCTCCCTGTCATGATAAATTGACAAATATATATGTATTAATACCATCATTTCTATTTTTGTGACTGAATTATTTTACATTCTAGTGTGAAGAAGATTTTTTTGAATTTTCCATATATATTTCTATGTAAAACTTTTTATATATGAGCTGTATCACAGTATGTGGGCCAGCTGTGATTTGTCTTTGAAATTTTATACCTGATGTTTTATATAAATATGATGAATAATGGCTTTGTCATTCTTCACAAAAGATTTAAAGTATTTTCCCATTAATTTCTATACAACTTTGGTCGCATTTTGGCCCCGCAAATACCCCCAGGGATCATGATTTGAAAGAACTTGAATATTTAATACTTGAGTTCACTTCCATATTTTGATGAATTATGGCTTTGACATTCTGAGAAGAAGATTTTTAAAGAATTTTCCTATATATATTCTATGTAAAACTTTGAAATTTTGGCCCCGCCCTACCCCAAAGGGCAATGATTTGAACAAACTTGAATCTTCACTACCTGAGGATGTTAAATGTCATTTTCCTACAGTGGTTCTTGAGAAGAATTTTAAAGAATATATATTTTAATGTAAAACTTTGTCGGCCATTTTGCTCCCCTAAAGATTTGAACAAACTTGAATCTTCACTACCTAAGGATGCTTCCATAAAATTTTAATTAACTCTTAAATTCTTGAAAATAACATCGAAGATTTTTAAAGAATTTTCTGTTATGTAAATGCAATGTAATATATTTTTCCCCACCCTACCCCCGGGGGTATTACCTATTACAAACTTGTTTTAATAATAACTACAAGGATTGTTTCCATATAAATTTGATGAATATATGCTTTCAATTTGTTATATGACACAAGATTTTTAAACCATTTCCCATATATTTCTATGTAAAACTTTGGTTTCAATTTAAGCAGATTTGAACAAACTTGTAAATGTTCATTTAACAAGATATATAAATTTGATGAATTATGGCTTGTCATTGAACTTGGAAGAATTTTTAAAGAATTTTCAGATATATTTCTAAAAACTTAACGTTTTTTGGCCCCGGGAACCCCCGGGGGTCATATAACTTGTTACTATAAGGAAAAAAATGCTGATAAATATCACTAATCATGGCTTTGAAATACTTGAGAAGACAATATATGCATGAATAGAAGATTTCCCCATCTAGTCCTGTGCAGAACTTTGGTCTGCCATTCTCCCCCCCCCCTATTTCCCAGGGGTCATAATTTGAACAAACTTGAATCTTCACTACCTGAGAATGATTTCACATAAGTTTCATCTTTCCTGGCTAAGTGGTTCTTGAGAACAAGATATTTCCTATGTATTCCTAGGTAAAACTTTGATCAGTTATTGTGGCCCAACCCTACCCCCAGGGGTCATGATTTGAACAAACTTGAATGTACACTACCTGAGGATTATTTCACATGAGTTTCATCTTTCCTGGCACAGTGGTTCTTGAGAAGAAGATTTTTAAAGATTTTTTATATATACATGTATTCCTTTGTAAAACTTTGATCGGCCATAGTGGCCCCACTCTACCCCAAGGGTCATGATTTGAACAAATTTGAATCTACATTACCTGAGGATGATTCCACATGAGTTTCTTTTTTCTTGACCCAATGGGTCTTGAAAAGAAGATTTTTTAAAAATGCCATTAATTTCTCATTAATTCATAATAATCTCCCCTTGGAAAAGGGTTTGGCCCTTCATTTGAACAAACTTGAATCCCCTTCACCTAAGGATACTTTGTTGCAAGTTTAGTTGAAATTGTCCCAGTGGTTCTTGAGAAGAAGATGAAAATGTGAAAAGTTTATGCCGACAACAATGATGACGACGACAGACGACGGACAAATTTGATCAAAAAGAAACAAAGGACAGATTCTAGATTCTAAAATACTTAATCGTGTTAATACGGAAGTTCACATAAAGTCATAGAAGAATGTTTAGTGTATGTTTATGATCTTTTTCTCTAAAATTTAATTATGCAAGCCAATTTAGGTAATTGAAAAAATTATTAGTTTAATCACAAATCTTATGAAAGAAGTATTTTACATGTAAATTAAATCAAGTTAATTAACTTTTAAACTTGATATAACATACTTTTATATTTCATATGTGCATTTTGTACCGAACCTATTCAGATGGAATTTTAATCTTTAAGTTCACTGCGGTCCTTAATATGGGGCATTGTGATGCCTTGTTTGTGAAAATTATATGCTAGCTACCAAGTGAAGGATAAAGACAATTCTGGACAGAGGGCAAAATTCTTTCATCAAGACTATTGTTGACTGCAAAATGATGGATTTAAGGCCATAATAAATAAATTGCTATATTCTCATCCGAATTTTTTTAAAAATTTGGGTGGGCGGGGGGCTTTTACTTTATATTTTTTATTTTTTTCCAATTTTGCAGATTTTTTATGACCTGCCAATTCGATGTAATTTTATTTACAAAATAAAAAAATTATAGTAAAGGGTCATTATTTTTCATGTAACATCATCACCAATCTTTTCAACCAATGACTTGTTTAAAATATATACGCGTGTATATAAAGCAATTACCATCTTTTCAGCTATTAAAATCATGTTGACATTTGCTGTAAAATCAGAACACTGGTAAAATTGTGATAGTATGTAGTTAAAAAGTTAAAATGATGCTTGCTTTAAAACAAACACTAATCCAGATCCAAAGCTTATATGGAAGCCACCAGAGGGTGCAGAAGTAGGACATTTTCCAGTATTTCCTCAATTCTGGTGGAATTTCATCATATTTGAGATACTTTTCTCGTAGGAAAACATAAAGCACAAGCTTGCCTATCTGAGATTTTTTCAAGTGTCTGACACACCCTATAAAATATATAAATTTGGTAGATAGGCAAGCTTGTGCTTATGTTTTCCGAAATAAAAACCTACCAAAATTTTGAAAATTTGCATAAAAATGAGAAAAGAAAATTTTTAAATTTTTCTAGTGACCTTGAATTTCCCCTCTTGACCTATATCCTGACACACTCTTGACCTCATGAGCTCATTTTGTGTAAAATGAGAACCAATACTGTTTTTTCTATGGATAAAGTTTGGATCATTCTGAAAGACACCCAAAATCACGGGCCAAATAGAGGTCTTACCCTATCTTGTCCTTTCTACGGACATAAGATTGCAATAAATTTCAAGTCTTCACTGGTGCTCTCAAAGGATTTATTTAAAACTTATTGATAATACATATTTGATGGAGAATTTCAATACTCTGTAAAATATTTTTAAGGCACCTTAAATACATGTACACAAAGTGAAACCTTCTACACACGTTACATGTACATGCGTATTTCTTTTTAAAAATTAATAAATAATTAACAAATTTAGACTGTAATCAAATAAATTGATATTAAAACTACCCTGATAAACTAAATAACATTATATATACAGTGTAATCACAGGAGTATGAAGTTTTTATCAAAACAATTCTACCTCCGTGATGAATCTATGTTTGATTTATTTATTAACAAAATTTAGACTAATTAAATAAATTTTTAAAACTACCCTCCAACTGAATAAATGATATATAATCAAGGTCATGACACACCCTTATATCAAAACAATCAATGTGGAGTATAGAATCTAAACAAAAAAATGTAAATGGGCTTTAAACACATCAAAAAAAAAAAAAAAAAAAAGAAAGAAAAAGATAATACATTAATTTCAATATATAATCCAATGTTATATAATATGCTGAGGTACTAGTTACAATAAACTTTCTGTATACATAGAAATTATGAAAAACTTGCACATTTCCTTATGGTAATTTCATTGTAAAAGTATTATTTGAACAAATATATGTATATTCTTGAATTAAATATTCAACTTGAACCTGAGAATCAAAGCTGGCTAATTAAAAGGACATGAAAAACAACATGGTACAACTAGGTTAGCTAAAGGATCGATATTTTTCCATAGGTACTCCCCCACAGCTTTTAATAAATTATAATCTACTACACTATAGTAATAATTACAGTATATACAATGTATATAGGTTCTCCCATGATTTGTAGTTGGATAGGATTTTTATTCAACAAGTTGTGTGATTTTTATCCCCAAGCCTTGGTGAGGGGATAAAAACACACGAGTTGGATAAAAATCATATCCAATTACAAATCATGGGAGATTCTTTTTATCCCATGTTTATTACTTTACGCTGTTTATATATAGGACTCCACTTTATTTTACTTCATCACGCTAACACAAAACCCATTGACTTTGACGTCATAACTGCACTTAACTGTGGTATACGAAATCAAGCTATATATGAGCTATATTAACATGGGATAAAGGGATAAACATGGGATAAATTCTTTTTTAACAATTCAGCTGGGAAGTGCCTATGGCTGCCATTAGGTATTACTTAATAAATAAGTTTTATGCTTCGAATTCATTCTTTCTTTTAGAAGTCAAAAAATTCAGGCATGAATGACAGGAATATATATCAGTCAATAGAAATCACTATGTCAAAACTTTGGTCATTTTTTTCAAGTCATGTTGTCACATCTGCAATATTTGTTCATAAACTTCTTTTCATGCCAAAATATTCTAATAATAGGGGTGTGCAATATTACCAGTATATCGGTATATTGCGGTATTATCTACCACGATAATATATCGCGATATGAAAATCAGATACCGGTATTTCACGATATTTATAAAAATATATAAAAAAAACCTCCTTTATTGTAGAAACTGTTAAAATAAAACTGGAAACTTCTAAGTCTTTTTCTTTCTCGTTGAAAGAATTCTTCGTCAGTTTCGTTCGGGAGAGAGAGGAGAGAGAGGGGAGAGAGAGAAATGGAAGCTTTTAATTCACTGTTGCAGTTTTGAATATCTTACTTTGAAATAAAATTACTAATCAATAAGACTTTCAAATAAAATTTATAAGGAAGAAAATGTATTTAACATTTTTACAGGGTGTATACCATATGCATTGCGGTTCTCAAAATCTCACATTGAATCTGAAATGTCAAGTTCAATATACATGACATATTACAAGTAAATGGTCATCCATGTTTTCACTTGTAGCAGTGTTGTTTTAATTATTTTTAATAACTTTCATGCCATTTTAAACACCTTATGCTATAGCAGGAGCATGTATATATTAAATAAGGCCATTTCCTGATTGTTCGTCTTGATGTGAAATTAGGTCGGGTTAGACTAAATTACCAAAACGCAAGAAAACAGGTCACAATTTCTTTCTGGTTTTTTAAATTTTACTTCTTAACCACAATAAAATTTTTTTCATATAGGCCTAATATGTATATTGTTTTAATCTTTAATAACATTTTATGCTACTTCATTACCCCCCCCCCCCCAAAAAAAAGAATTCAATGAAAAAAGATTATATAATCTGTAAAAAATTTTATTTCAATGTGAAAATTCTCCAAGAGAGTTCAACTTGTTTTACTACATGTATTTTACCTGGAATTTGATTAAAAGTAAAGTGTTAATTTGGTGTGCAATCAATGTCTTATCCCTCCTCCCACTTTTAAACTTAAAGATAAATTCAAATAGTCTTTGAACTTGACAGCATTTCAAACATTCTGCTCAAATTTATTAATGATAATTAATCTACAATATATTGCAATATATTGCAATATTCAAAGTAAAATATTGCAATATATTGCAATATGGATTTCCTTCGCAATACCCAACTCTAATAATAACATACTAAAAAATACATGTACAATGAATAAAAAATCAGACAAACATTATATACATGTATAGAGTTAAATATTTTATTTCCAAAAAAGTATTCTAAAAATAAATAGAAGATCCTAATGCCATTCTTCAGACTTGAGGTTCTAAAAATAACTTTGTTCAACATAAATAAATCAAATGAAGTATCCATCTTTAAGGAAATAATGGTATGTCACTTTAATACTGATGAAAAAAAAAACAGAGATAATTTGTGACCATGCAGGGTTTGAAAAAAAGAATTTTGCATGTAACAATTTTAACTTATGTATTAATTATTATAATTATGTATATGATTGTAACAGACACTGCAAAATTAATTAGTTTAGAATAGTAGACAGTTGGAAAAAATTTCTTATATCATTCACTCTAAACCAATAAGCTGCTTGTTGTTCTCAGTTTTTGAGCCCCACCATTTTCTCGGATACTTCCCACAACTTCTTGGCAGCCTCATCATCCTGGGCAGGTTTGGCTTCCTCCTTCACAGCACAGTCACTGAAAGGGAGATAGTTATAAAAATACAGAAATAGATATTTTATATATTTTACAGTAAACTAATGACAGTGGATAGACTGATCGATGGGAGAGGACAATCAAAGTTTTAGGAACTTGTCTCCAATCCCTTTGACATGTTGTCAATAAAATATGTTCAAAATAAAACTGATTGATTGTTCGTTGTTTTAAGTCCTATTCAAGATTTTTCTTTCTCATACACAGCTTCTCATACATACTTCATCATATACAAGTGAAGGGCTTCAAATCTAGACCTTTATTTGACACTCAGGGCCATTGAGCAGAGAGGGCTCTCTATTGTGGCACAATGCCTACTGTGAAACAAGGCCTAAATTTTTAAGGTCTCAACCCCCCAAAAAGAGGCCCAAGGGCCAAATCACTCACCTGAGCAACTGGCTAGGTAAAAGCAAAAATCAGTTAAGTATTAAAAAGTTAAAATATAAATCTATATCTTTCAAATTACACATTTATTTTTTGTTAAAAAATAGTATTCCGTTAGGGTACACATATCAGTGATTAATTACAAACAAAAATTAGAGCAAAATTTGGAAATTAAATTTTTTGTCAATTTACAGGGGACCATAAGTCACCTCATCCTTTAAATCTACATTCCTTTTTTGATGTTTTTATATTGATGATCAATCATGGCTTTGTTGTTCTTGTGAAGAATTTTATAAATTTTTCCTATGTATTCTAGCTTATGTAAAACCTTGATCACCCATTGTGGCCCCACTCTACCCCCGGGAGTCATGATTTGGACAAACTTGAATCTATAATACCCTAGGATGCTTCTATATATAATATGAACAATCACAGCTTTGCTGTTCTTGAGAAAAATATTTTTTCTATGTAATCCTTCTTAAAACTTTGATCACCCATTATGGCCCCAACCTTGCCCCAGGGGTCATGATTTGAACGATTTGAACCTAACTACAAGAGGATGCTTCAATATAACTATGACGAATCATGGCTTTGCTGTTCTTGAGAAGAAGATTTTTAAAAGATTTTTCCTATGTATTCTATGATAAAATTTGATCCCCGATTGTGGACCCACTCTACCCCTGGGGGTTATGATTGGAACAAATTTGAATCTACACTACCTGGGGATGCTTCCACATGAGTTTCATCTTTCTTGGTGAGTTATTTTTGAGAAAATATTTTTAAAAGATGTCATTAATTTTTTGCTAATTCATAACTCCCCTTGGAAGATGGTCCTTCATTTGAACAAAATTGGATCCCCTTTATCTAAGGATACTTTGTGGCAAGTTTGGTTGATGTTGGCCCAGTCCCCTTGGAAGAGGGCATGGCCCTTCATTTGAACAAAATTGGATCCCCTTTATTCAAGGATACTTTGTGGCAAGTTTGGTTGATATTGGCCCAGTGGTTCTTGAGAAGAAGATGAAAATGTGAAAAGTTTAGAACGACAACAATGACAGACAACAGACAAATTTTGATCAGAAAAACTCACTTGAGCCTTTGGCTCAGGTGAGCTAATAATTGATCTGGATGTGTACAAAGACGTAATCTCCATGATAAAGATTCACAACCTTGCATTATATCATTTGCTTAATCAATTTAAATCTTGGGTGGGAGAATATAACTCCTTAAAATTTTCATTACTCATCAGGATAGGTGTACTTTCATTCAACTTACCTGAAATATTTCCCTGTGACATTTTCTAGACTTTCCTCCACAACACAGTATATGCTGGTCTGTGCCCCTTGTTTGGGTGTTTTCGCAAAGAATAAAATTAATGGGAAGAACACTCTGAGGTATACCGGCACCGTTTGCGGTAAATATCTTATGATCTCAGTTGCAACAAGTCCAGGATGGAGGGAATTAGCTGTTACATTTGTTCCTGTGAATGGTAAGTATGAACCAAATTAGTAAAAAAAAAAAGGTATATTAATTAAATTTCAATCAATTAAATTTAAAAAGTTTAACAGAAATTGAAATTTTGTTATTTCTTTTATAAGGGGATGTCTCATTTCAAGATCTGATATTTGTAAGATGGACAATGAAAGAAAAATCAAATTGACATCCCTAGTAAATATTCACACACATGTTAACATCAACATGGCTGTTGGTGACCATACTATCCACTGGACCCTCATCCCAAAACTAGAAGTTTGGACAAAAACACTTGCATGTAAAGTGAAAACTCACCTTCTAGTCTTCGACTTAGCTCCCGTGTGAACAAAACATTGGCCAGTTTGCTTTGTCTATAGCAAAACATAGCGTCATAATTCTTTTCACTGTTGATATCATCAAAGTTGATCTTGTCAGCACCTGAACATAAAATTAAAATACTTGTCACATATTACATGGAATACTTACACATATTGGATGACAATACCAGTCTGTTACTTAGTAAAATGTGAATTCTGATAATGCTGTTCCATTACTTTATTAAAGTTCATTTACATGTCTCCCTATAGTTAAACAAATAGATCTCTGTAACCCACTGTCCTCTGAATGTTATACGATCAATAACAAAAAAAAAAAAATAAATAAATACATAAATGTACATGTATGTCAAGAATTGTTTTGAACACAATCATATTTTTTCATTCCATACTGCAAAAAGGTCCTCCTTCACATGTACATTGTAATTACAATATTTTTATCCATTTTAATAGTTCTTTTTTTCAGAATAAAAAAAAATAATTGCAATATTTTTTAAAACCAAGGTAACTATAGATTTGCAAGTAATCCTGCAGTGATCTTGAACAAAAGCAATACCAACATTGCAAAAGCATCGAACCTTGAGTAACAGTAATCCAAGTATACAATGTAGAAAATTCTGTTAGAAGTAAAATAAAGCTTAATCTCTTACGTGTATGTGCAAGTGACGACACGGTAATGATTCTGGCGGGGGCAGAACTTTTTATTTTATCCAGCAGTAGATTGGTCAGCAGGAAGTGACCTAAGTGGTTAACCCCAAACTGCATCTCAAAGCCATCTTCAGTCTTCCAATAGGGACACATCATAATGCCTAGAAATAACAAGAGTTTAACTTGTGTGATGAAGTGTCAAAACTCTGAGTCCAAATGGCTGCATTTATGAAAGAGGTCAATTTTTCAAAATGAAAAGGGAGACAGAGTTTACCGGTATCTATGTCCAGTCCCATGTCTTCACAAATTGTTTTTACATAGTTTCTAGTGATTTTATAAAATGATTTCAAATGCATTGTAAGAGAGCCGAATGGACCTTGAGGCTCACTTGATCATTATGTTCCCCAAACGAAGTTGGGGAACATATTGTTTTTACTCTGTTTCTTATTAGGGTCTTCCGCTTCCTTCGGAAGACCCTACTGTTATTCTACTGTTTCTTATTATTATTTTATTTTTTTTTTCCCGCTCGATTTTTGACAGGCGATTTCTCAAAGACTGTTGGACTGATTTTTATGAAACTTTCAGGTTAGATACCTTGTAATTAAACCTATTTACACCTGTTTTCAATTTTTTGATGCATGCCTTTAATTGTGAGTTATTGCCCTTTAATTGATAATTTTGATGTCTCGTTTCCACTAAAAATCTCAAGAACGACGTAAGATATTTACACGAAAGTTGGAGAACTTGTAGCCAATATATTGTAGATGTGCAGAACGATAAAATTATAAGCTGATTTCCTAAAGTTTGGAAGCTATAAAACGGCAAATTTTAGTATTTTTTTTTCTTGAATTTTTGCTACTTTTTGTGTAATAACTTTTGAACCGAGAATAATTTGGTAAGAAATATATAACAAAAGTTGTGTGTAATTACGAGAGCTTTCATATTAGATTAATGAAAAGGGGCTGGCCCCTATAATTAGGGGTTAATAGCTCATACACGTTTTTTCTGATAGCTAAAAATATTGGTATATTATGAAAAAGTTTGACTGAAATAATTTCGAACTTATAAAATCTTGTCATTTGATATAAAAAGAAATAAACTTCCAGCTATATTTAATTGTTTTCTATATAAAACAAGTACATGTATGTGAGAAACCTTTCAGGAACAAGTTGTCTACTATAGCCAGCCAAGCCTTTACTGCATACATGTGCACATTTTTAGTTGATGCATCTAAAAGATATAGTTTTGATTCGGTGTTTCTTTGTTTTCTTTTTATTCAAATAATTTTAAAATGTGATGATGTACACAACAATAATTAGTACCTAGTTTAGAGGATTTTTTCGCGCTTGTTTGTAAACAACGCGCGGCATTGTGGGAAATAGGAAGGTACTAAAGACGCGATGTACTAAACACTTAATTGACCTGATTCAAATTTGTCTGTAAATGTTCCAAACAATTCAATTTTTGTATAGCATATGCCTCGAAGTCATAAAGTCTGTACATAAGTAATTTAAAATACTCAATATTACCATTTAATTAAAAATTAAAACGTCAGGTAAATATCAGGTCTCTAGTATATCCCGTTTTTAGTGTGCCCCTTCGAGTCGACGTCGGACACATGTTTGTCATGGTTTACAAACTGAAAATAGAATGATTTGTGAAGTTGAACATTTTCTCACAAAGAATCCGTTTGTAGACATGCACACTCATTTAATCTGGAGCTACGAAGTACTTTGTCACTTCTCTGGAACCTTATTCTAAGCAGAATTATCCCGATTCATATATTCTAAGAATCTTGTGTGAATTGTTTACGAGGAAATTCTGACTGTCACATTAACAAGGATGAACACTCTTGACTCTGCTTCGGATTCCCCAGTGATAATTGTATCGAGTGATGAAAGAGCTGACGGCGACATTTTAATGTATGATTGGCTTGGACCATTGGAATGAAGGTTAGAATATTTTTATTACTTAAAATTTACACTACTGATTACATGACAGTGACGTACATTGATGTTATTAGAAATACACAGACACACCGATATATTATCTGTTTTACAGTTCAGACGCTCTCTGTTTGCCTTGTAAATCCCCACAGCTTTATATTTTATTTTTTTTAAATTTGAGGATGTAATTTCAAGTCCTACTATCTATCATAGTGATCATACTCTATAATTCAAACTGCACTTAATGTTACAGAATATATTCAACTAATTATATATTGACAGTGTGACTGTAAGGGTGAGCATGGTGAGGGCAGATACTTATTTAGTTTTAATTTAGATTGTGCTTGTCAAGCCGCATTTGACATTTGGTGCATCCATGCTCAATGTTCACACTGAAAGTTTATTCAAATGTTTAATTCGAATGAATTCACTGCTCGTTAAATTACTTCCCATTAGCTCCATGTGAACATGAGTAAGGATAGCTAATTCAAATTAAATAGAAATGAATTTTGAATGTAGCTTAAACATGTTAAAGAAGCTAAGCACTGTGTGTCCAAAGTATACTGCGGAAAAATTGTGTGGAGCAATGTGCAAGTCACAATCTTCTTTTGCCAAGGTGTTATCATAAGAGCTCGCATTATGGGCAGGGATTTGTGCTGCTGTCTGGACTCGCTATAAATAGATGTTCTCAAAAAGTCTTAATTATTTAATGTCATACTTTACTTACAAAAAAGGACAAATATTGCTCAGTTAAATTGCAAAAGAAATTTGTTTAAAAAAATTGTAATAATAGAAAGTTTGCTTTTTTTTGTTTGATAAGACTGCTGTAATGGTTTAATGTTTGTTTATTTGCCTTAATCATACATTTTTCAGTCATTTCATGGTGCCACCACTTGGGATGGTTTTAGCTGCAAATATAGACTTGTACTCAGCACTTATTGCCTTTAAGAAGTATGAGATCCATTTTGTGCTAACACCTATCGTGACACAGAATCTTGGTTTATGCAGTCTCATAGGAGTAACCTGTCTAAAGCATTTAGCAATGGGATTGGAACCTGCAACGTAAGGTTCAGCTTCTTATTGATACTTTGATTTATAATATTTATTTGAGAATTTCACTCATTCACATACTTAGAGATGTTGATATATATTGTTGAATAGCATCAATTTAGACCTTTAATTAGCTAAGTAAACATGTACTGTGAGGTTTTTAAGGTCTCATTCATTTTATATGCCAGATGCATGTTAAGGAACATTACTGCATAAATGTTTTTGTCTTAAATTTGAAGCTTTTTACTAATATAGAGATATGTTAGTTTTAAACCTCTTCAAATTAGGGTAGACCTTTACTTTAAACTCAGCAATGTGAGTGTGTTGTGTGAACTTGTGTTAGCGAGACAGTGTGTTGTATGAATTTGTGTTAGCAAGGCAGTGTGTTTTGTGAACTTAGTTGTGTTAGCCTGACAGAGGGTTGTGTGAATTCTTGTTAGCTTGACAATGTGTTGCGTAAACTCGTGTTAGCGGGACAGCGTGTTGTGTAAAATCGTGTATAAAGTGTAAGTGTGACAGTGTGTTGTGTAAACTCGTGTTAGCTAGACAGAGTGTTGATTGAACTCGTATTAGCCAGACTTCGTGTTGTGTAAACTGGTGTTAGTGAGACTGCGTGTTGTGTAAACTCGTGTTAGCGAGACTGCGTGTTGTGTAAACTCATGTTAGCGAGACAGCGTGTTGTGTGTATCCTTATTAATGAGACAGCATGTTGTGTGAATTCGTGTTAGCGTGACAGTGTGTTGTGTGAACTTGTTATCCTGAAAATTTGTCGTGTGAACTGGTGTTAGAGAGATAGTGTGTTGTGTGAACTCGTGTTAGCAAGATTGCATATTGTGTGAACTCGTGTTAGCCAGACTGCGTGTTATGTGAACTCGTGTTAGCGATATTGCATGTTTTTTGAATTTGTGTTAGCGTGACAGTGTGTTGTGTGAACTCGTGTTAGCCTGACAGTGTGTTGTGTGAAATGGTATTAGGATGACAGTGTGTTGTGTGAAATGGTATTAGGATGACAGTGTGTTATCGCAACAGCGTTTGGTGCGAACTTGTGTTAGTGAATAGTGAGACAGCCTGTTTTGAGAATTCGTGTTAGCGTGACAGTGTGTTGTGTGAACTCGTGTTAGCCTGACAGTGTGTTGTGTGAAATGGTATTAGAATGACAGTGTGTTGTGTGAAATGGTATTAGGATGACAGTGTGTTATCGCAACAGCATTTGGTGCGAACTTGTGTTAGTGAATAGTGAGACAGCCTGTTTTGTGACTTTGTGTTAGCGTGACAGTGTATTGTGTAAACTCGTGTTAGAGTGACAGTGTATTGTGTAAACGCGTGTTAGTGAGACTGCGTGTTGTGTAAACTCATGTTAGCGTGACAGTGTGTTGTGTGAATTCATCTAAGCGTGACAGTGTGTTGCGTGTACTTGTGTTAGCTAGACAGTGTGTTGTATGAACTCGTATTAGCGAGACTGCGTGTTGTGTAAAACTTGTGTTAGCGAGACAGCGTGTTGTGTGAACTTGTGTTAGCGAGACAGCGTGTTTGTGAATTCGTGTTAGCATGATAGTGTGTTGTGTGAACTCGTGTTAGCCTGATATTTTGTTGTGTGAAATTGTATTAGCGTGACAGTGTGTTGTGTGTTAGTGTGACAGCGTGTGGTGCGAACTTGTGTTAGTGCAAAAGTGTTTTTCAGTGTTGTGATGGCGAGCTGTGTGATAGCCTAATGGCGTCTTTTGTGTCGGTAAGATGGCACGCTTTTATGAAAGTGCTATTGAGCTTTAGCAAGTGGCCCTATCTGGACATGCCTTATTATAATTGATCAGTTCTCAGATATACAGTGAATTACCGGTATTATTGTCACCATGAAATCAGCATTTACAGTTGCAATTACCTAGTTAGTAATCATAAGATATTGGTTTGTCAGTTTTAAAATTATGGTGTTCCAATGATGTGAAGTTGCAGTGTCTTAGCATGTTACCGGTAATTTCAACAGACTGCCACTCCAATGCAGCTTTAAACAACACGCTGCTGTGTTAACACAAAACAAAATATCATGCAAACACAACTTTAAACAATCTGTTGAGTGTTAGCTTCACTGCATGTTGGATTCAGTGTGCTGGCATATTATCACTGACGTACATGCTAGCACATTGTCACCTCGTGCTAGTATGTTGTCATAAATACTCTAGCACATTATCCTAAACCCACTAGTGCATGATTACTTTGCACTTGTATGTTGTCTTATTAGGGAATAGCATAAATGACTGCCTTAATTGGTGTAAACTTCTTTTAATTGATGAAAGAGTACATTAAAATTTACAAATTATACACAGAAAATGTGACAATATCTTATCTCTCAATTTGATAATCTAATTTGTAATCTCATGAATTGCACTTTTTATTAGTAAAAGAATTATAGATTAAAAAATTTCAATTTCTTTTGGATAGGTGTGACTCATCTGAAGACTGAATTTTGATACCAAGCATGACCATGATTTGCCAGAAGATCATCTGTTTGGATGTGACATGGAATAAACAGCATTGTGAAAATAAGTCAAGTTTTGGTTTGTGAAGACAATTTTTAAACACACTGTGTATCATTTTTAAATTTTGATTTGACAACATAAATCCACAAATATGAACATATCAATTGCTCTCAGTTTTTCAAGTGAAATAGTTTTTGTAACAGAAATACATGTACCAGTAATTACATTGGAATAAATGTTATTTTTAAATATAATAATATTTTGTTTGTGTAGCATGTTGACCTCTTTATTAAGGTCTTCCCTTTCAAAGTTTAGACTTACTTATTCTAATGATTAAGATAGATCCTCTGTCTTCAGCAGGAATAGAAGATCTTGTAATACATGTATGTGTATTTTTTACAGTATAATGTAAAAAAAATTGTTATTTTGGCACATACAACTAATTAAAGGCATATACATGTGTATGATTCCAAGGAATTCAGTACATAGGGCATGTACATGTAGTTTTCTAAAACAAGATTGAAGAGATGTCCAGTCGCATTTCAATGTCAACTGCAAAACTGTGCCTGTTGCATACTTATTAGCCCATCTGAGCTAAAGGAACCTGTAAATTTTTTAAAAACATAATTTTATCCATTATCATCATTGTCTAAAATTTCACAATATCATTTTCCAGAACCAAAGTGAAACTTGGCACAGAGCATCCTTAGTGTAAGGGATTCAAATTGTTCTTATGCAGGGCAATACCTTCAAAGAGATTTGTTTCTTTAATGCTGTAAATGTATTATATTTAGCTTGTACAATATTTGGTGGAAATTGACTTTTGAATAAGTTAGCGTAGATATTCTTATTTATGTTTATGTACAAGACTTTTAGCTTTGTACTTGATTTAGTGATTGCTGCATTCCGCCAAAGCCGCTAAAAAAGAATACACAGCCATATGTAATATGTTTACAAGATACCTTTCAGAGAATTTTACACTCCTATTGAGGTACCACCAGTTGCTAGTGGAAAGCTGCAAATTCGAAACATACACAACACATTTCTGTGCGTTTATTATAAAAGTATTGTTCTACTTACTGATTGCAACTAATGAAGATTGTTCATCATTATTGTAAATACATTTGGATTTTTTGAATTATTATATAATTTTTTTATTTTATTTACCTAGTTATATTGTATATTAAATGATTTTAAAGCCATTTTTAAGATGGTAATGTAGCAAAACACTTATGTTTCTGTAGTATGACACGTTTCACAAACATAATTGCAACAAACATGATATATCCGATATCAAAAGTCAAAATATTGGAAGTTAAACTGTTGTGGATACGATTTCAAGAATGCTGTTAGAGAGAGTACCCTTTAGACCTCATGCTCACACCAAATTAAAGAATTCAAGTAAGGGTTTCTGAGACAAATCGAAAAAGAGAATGTTAGCAAAGTTGACAATCTAGACAGAAACATTTAATCTTTTGCTTATCGCTAGGAAGGAAGACCCACTCGTTGCTTTGCAACGAGCTTTGCTCTAGTTATTATTATTATTTTTCTTCTCGGGAAAATTTTGTCCGCGAATGATCTTGTAAAGTACACGTCCGATTAAGGGGAAACCTTTTTAGGGTAAGTAGGCATGTTATGTAGATTTGCGGAACGAAGGTCATTTTGCGCGCACGTGCTTGCAAGAGCGCGCACGTGCAACACGTGAAATGACCAATATACTTGGAATTGCCGTAACTTTTACATTTTTTGATGTAATGCTTTCATATTTAGAATATATAGACATATGATAAATGTAGATAAGATGACATTGTCAACATGCCATTTTGCGCGCACGTGCTTGCAAGAGCACGCACGTGCAACACGTGAAATGACCAATATAATGGATATAGCCGTAACTTTTCTATTTTTTGATGAAATCTTTTGAAATTAATAATGTAAGGATATATTAGTAGCGTAGACAAGATGACGTGGTCAAGATAGCAAGATCTCACGCGCATGCACGTGCGCTTTGCTCTGATTGGCTGAAACAAAGGTCTCAATATCTTTCTTGTTTTTTGACGAAATCCTTTGAAATTTTGAACATAGCCATGCATTAGGATGTCCTACAACATGATATATAGCAATTATCATTAAAACAAGTGCATGCACGTGCGCTGCAATCTGATTGGCTGAAACTTTAAATAGCTATAACTCGCTTGGTTTTCAACCAAACAGGATGGGATTTGGAACATAAATATATATAATGGACTTCTAAAAGAAGGTATGGTCACCATGCACATGCATACACGTTCGTGTACCTGAGCTGCAATCTGATTGGCTGAAACTTTAAAAAGCTATAACTCCCTTGGTTTTCAACCAATCAGGATGGAATTTGGAACATAGATAGATGTATTAAATGGACTTCAACAAGAAAGTATGGTCACCATGCTCATGTATGCAAGTGTGTGCACGTGAAAAGAGTAAAATAAAAAATACACTTGAATGAGCGTATCTTTTAATACTTTTGGATTAAATACTTTAATATTTAGTATATTAAAATATATATACATTGTGTAGACAAGATGATTTGGTCATTACGCTCATGCATTCACATGCGCACGCGTGCAATGATTAAATTTGAATGAACTTGGTATACTTCTGGTTAAACGTTGTTAAAGTCTCAAATGCATAGAGTTTGTCTTATTTAATGAAGCTTACATGGAATATGGCACCAAAAGGGAGTTGGGGAGCGTTTGGGGAACATCTGTAACGGTCCCCGTTACAATTAGCACTAGTTATTAGTTTTGCTATGCTTATCCATTTCCAACATTTAATACACATACACAATATTTTTCATGTAAGGTCTCTCATCTTTTTGATTTTCACATCATCATTCATATTTTTCATTTCACGATCCTTCATGAGGTAATGGGAGGAAGATGAAAATATTTTAAAGTTTAAGCACCATGGATATACAGGTATAACAGACAAAATTCATAGTAATTGTTAGGTACAAATATGAGTTACATGGTGTTAGCAAATAAAGAAATCCAGTAGTACCTGCATTATTGATAAGAATATTAACTTTGGGCTCAGTTTTGTTGATGTTGTCGGCAAACTTTCTGATCGACGCTAGAGAAGCGAGGTCCACTATCCTCACCACTACATTCTGGTTGTTGGTCTTAGCAATGATTTCCGTGGCCGCTCTCTCTGCTCTCAAAACATCACGACATGCTAAAATCACTCTGGCACCTAAAAATACAACATGGATCATGGTATTATTATACCCCCCGCTTGAAAAGTGGGAGGGTATACTGTAATCGGTATATCCATCCGTCCGTCCAGCTGTCCGTCCTTGTTACGCTTTGGGGTACCCATCTCTTATCCGCAACTTCTCTTATACCACTGAGTGAAATTTAATGAAACTTTCACAGAATCTTTATTACATATTGCCATTGTGCACCTCCTATTTTACTTTTTGATCCGACACATATTTTGGGTTTCCCGGCCACAGCAAAACATGGACTTTGCCATTATAATCATATGGGAAGCAGGGGGTATCATTTAGTGAGCTCATTGCTCACAGTACCTCTAGTTTAAATTTATCATTGTTAATGCAGAGTGAACCAAATTGTTTGTTTTAAGTCACTTCAAGAAAATTTCACTTTTTTTGAGTTGCCACCACTTGCAATAGGGGGTTGCAAATTAGATCTTTAATCAGCAGTAAAGACCTTTGAACAATGAGGGATCTTCTTCAAGCCAGCAGTCAAAAGCTCTACAGAGCTTTAAGTATGTTATTTGTTTGAAAATCTGACTTTAAATAAAATTTTCTGATTCTGATTACATTTTAGATATACTTTCCTTACATAAATAAAACAAATATTCACACATTATTTAATATTTACAATGTATGACTGATACATGTACCTCTTGAAGCCAAATCCATGGCTGTTTCTTTCCCTATCCCGGTGTTAGCCCCAGTGATGATAACAGTTTTTCCATCAAGTCTTGCTTGGCTTCTGCAGACTCCCCCAGCAAAATACCGTCGTACAGCAAAATAAGTAATACCTACATAAAATTCATAAAAGATTGCACTGTAAACAATCTTAGTATATGAATTGAATATTTTTAACTCTGGATTGTATCTAATCATGTTTATTAATTTCAACCAAGACATCTGATAAATGCACACTTCTTAAGGAATTATAAATGCAAAGAGTCAATTGTGTATGTTTTTAAAATTCAATAAAATAAGAGAAAATCGTCATAAGGATGGGCATTGCGACAGTTTGAATGGGTCAAATAATAGGTCAAATAACGCAGATGTCCTTCAAATTCACTTGCATACTGCAAGGCTATTAAAAATGCTAATCAGTGCAAAGGCAATAAAATAAAACTGTACAATATACTTTACCTACACCAACCACTGAACCTATCAGCACACGGTGTTTTCTGCAGAAATCCAGCATACCTTCAATTTCGACTGTCATCTTTTCACTTTCTATTTACAAATGGTTTACAATAAATGGAATACCAAACCCGACAAGAAAAGTGAAGTCGGTCTGAGTGTCTATCTGTTTGTCTGTTAATATGCCTCCCCCAAATGAATAAATGAATGAAAGAATGAATGAATAAATAAATAAATAAATAAATAAATAAATAAATAAATAAATAAATAAATAAATAAATAAATAAATAAATAAATAAATAAAATAAAGAAATGAAGAAATGAAGAAATGAAATAAATAAATAAAATAAATGAGAATGTGGGAAAAAAAGGAATCCTTGATCGAATTGATGCCAGTGTATAGCTCCACATGCAAATGAAGTTTAAATCGATACCCCCTTTCCCACAAGGCCACTTCGTTGTTAAAAAATAATAAGATCATAAGTTGTATGAAACCTTCAATTTTTCAATAAGAATTAGATTTTCTCCCCAGTTTTTTCAAACAAAACTTTAAATACAATTTAAAATATTCAGTGATAGGCCGGTTAACACACCCACTTTTTTAGTGCAGTATAGTCGAATAAGGGTAATTTAAGATACATATAGTACTTACCGTATTAGTACCATCCTTTAATGCCAGGGGTCCTGAGTCTACCGTTGCCGTTGTACCCAGGACCTCTGCATGTGTTAGTGCGTGAGCAAAATTTGGTACTGCATGAAAGTGGTACTCAAATAAGCTAGACCCCCCCCCCCCGCACACATACATGAAATAGGATTTCTTTCTATTGGATCCCCCCTTTTTTTTTTCAATTTAGAGGTTGATTTTATTCTTTGACCCCATCCCTTTTCAAAAACGATGCTTTGTCCCTAGCTGCTAATGGAACATTATTATCTACATGAATACATGTACTTTTATATACCAGCCTTTGATATGAACAGGCAGGTAGGCAAGCTCACGAAATTCGAGATAAAGGTACTTCTTAAACTTCTCTCACGTTGTAAAGGATTCTCCTGGAACTGTAAAATGTGGTTAAATCGAAAGAAACATAAAACTGATCACCTCGAATCACTATTTGTTATAACAGACGACCACTTCCTAAACAAACAGTATTATTTTCTGAAAGTGTGCGTCCATATTCATTAATTTGCTTTAAATATTGACAGTAGTTTAAAAGTCAAATATTGATCTAGGACCAGTTTACAGTCGTATGTGATTCATGTAGGAAATCCAGTCAAAGTGTTCCCAATTAAAACCGTCCCGGTCAAAGCGTTCCCTGATTTTGGTCAAAGCGTACCATGATTTTGGTCAAAATGTCCCCAGATTTTGGTCAAAGCGCCCCCTGACATATTTTATAGAAATATGATACTACGAAACAGCCTCCTGATTTTGGTCAAAGCGTCCCTTGATTTTGGTCAAAGCGCCCCCTGAATTTGGTCAAAGCGCCCCTTGACATATTTTGATAGAAAAACATAGTTTCTAAACCACCCCTTATTTTGGTCAAAGCGTCCCTTGATTTTGGTCAAAGCGCCCCCTGACATATTTTGACATAACGTAGTATCTAAACCGCCCTCCCCCCTGTTTTTGGTCAAAGCGCCCCCTGATTTTGGTCAAAGCGCCCCCTGACATATTTTGATAGAAAAACATATGTTCTAAAGCGCCCCCTGATTTTGGTCAAAGCGCCCCCTGACATATTTTGACATATTTTGATAGGAAAACGTAGTTTCTAAACCGCCCCCTGTTTTTGGTCAAAGCGCCCCCAGTCAAAATTTGTGTGAAAAAAAATGATGTTATTAAATTGGAAAGGGGGGTTCATGCAGTACTTCCGAAGTATTTCAAGGTCGATTAAATATACGTACATTAGCTACTTTAAACTTAAATTGTGTCCCCTAGGTGTCAATAACATCTGATAACTTTTATGCGGTCTAAAATACGCCTGCCGACGCCTGCCAGGGGAAAATACGCCTGCCGAGAAAATCTATATGCTGCCGTGTTATTTATTGACTAAAGTTAATTTTATTACAGATATTAATTTAATAGACTATTTACTTTATGTTTTACCAAACAAAAATAATTTAAAAAGCACATGTCCGATGCTTTATTCATTTTATAATTTGCTTCCGTCTTAGAGCACGCCTGCCGAGAAAATCTACACGCCCGCGGTGTTGTTTCTTTTATTATGTATTATTTAAAAAAATATATATGACTTTAATAAATTATTTGGTTGTCATTTAATTAATTATAAACAAATCAAAAAAAGAAAAAATGTTTGATAATTATTTATAAAAATCTACACACGAGATTTGCAGTAATATTAAAGGAGATATCTCCCACTTTACAATATTTTATATTCCTTATATTTTCTATTCGTCTAAGAAGACGTAAATACTTACTTTTATAAACATTGAAGCTGATGTATGTAAAACAAATTAATTAAAAAAAAGAAATGTTTTTATGAATTTTAAAACTAGATATGTCCAAGACCCGAATCTTAGACAAGAAAGAAATAACCACGGAAACCATTCATGAAGATCATGTAAATTGATTCATGATATACAGATTGTGCAACCATTATAACAATTTCTACAATACAAACCATTTTAACAATTTCTACAATACTTATCTGAGGAGGAAGAACTGAAAAAAAAAAATTATTTGCAGCTCTGGGGCGTAAATAGTTTGTGTGGTATGTTGTATACATGTAAATTGACGATCTTTTCAATAGTTCGATAAACATGCATTTGTATATTAAATTCGGAATTTCCTTCATCCATATTTTCTTAAAATTCATTTATTTAATCAGATATGTAAATATTTACGAATTCTGATTTTGTGGCTCTGGTTCATAATATCCCACCTTGGAGTGTGTATAGCGCACGTGCCAATCTTCTCATTTGTCATGTACCTAATTATGTAATACCACATAATATTACGCACAGGTAGGGTATACAGGAAGATCGATAATTAAGTTTCATTGAGATTTGAAGTCTGTGTATACACAGTAAACATGAATTCTGATATTCATATCATTGTAAACAAATTTTAACAATAATGAATTTTGATAGAACAATAATATACCGTATATAGCGAGAATATTTGGAACTTTCGATGGATTATTTTCTCTCTAATTGAAATAAATGAATAAAATAGATTACTTTCATCACTTTTCTTAAATCATCGAGTTCTTGCCTAGACTAAGAAATTGTGAAACTTTGAAATGTTAATTAAGATAAAAAAATTACGTGTTTTATATTTTGAAAATTAGTAACTTTTCAAAAGTTTTGTTTATTTCCATGACAGCCTAGATCGCTATACATGTTTGCATACATGGTATAAACACATCATGCTTGAACGATATTTTGTACACATGTCATTTACATGCTGATTTTCTTACTCATTTCGTTTATTTCCTTCTCTCAATCTCTGCTTGATGTATACATGGATGTGTAGGAATAGTTTAAATTATACCATTTCTCTTACCTGTAAAATTTTGTATTTATTTTTATAACTTTGCTGCATATAATAAGTTAATATAACCTGAAAATCAGAAATAATAATTAATTCATTGATGTTTAAAAAGTTTAACATTGAATATTTCAGATTCAGATTCTGATTCAAAACAACTACGGTAACCCGTAAATCGCAAAGTTTTTACTGCATATGTGCTCCTGAGTCATTGTAAATTCTATGAATAAATACGAAACCAATAATATTTTTCTTAAAAAAAGAAAGAAAGAAAAAACATGATGTCCATGGTCTTCACACAGCAGTTCCTGGGTAAGATTTATCTCCTTTAATACTATATACTCTTGTATCAAACACTAAATGAATAAAATATATATTTAATTTTTTTTTTTTGATTAATTTTTTGTCAAATGTTAACCAAATACTTTTGCAAAGTAACATTTCAAATATTGTAATGAGAAATTAGAGAAACAACGCCGCAGGCGTTAGATTTTTCGTCAGGCATGCTCCACGCCATTCAAACTTTAAAACGATTAAAAACCCCATTCTGTGCTTTTAACATTTTTTTTGTTTTCCTAAAACATTAACTACAGGGTCTAAAAAAGTAATATTTCCCCTGGCAGGCGTCGGCAGGCGTATTTTAGTGTTACCCACTTTTATGTGCTTGATTAGAAATTTTTCCTTGATCGTATCCACCGTGTTAATAGATTTATCCTTATATTTATACACCTGTAGTGTTGAAAAGAAAGTTACAGATTATAAAAATGTGTATGTGAGCATCAACATTTATTTTAAAAATGAGCTATCATATTTTGACTCTGGGACGTCAGGAAAAAAATATACATATAACAGCAAAATTTCCGTTTAAAAATCGATTTGGAGGCACTTTGAAAATTTTGGGTGGTATTCAAACATAAATTTTCTATAAGGAGCGCTTTGACCAAACTTCAAACGTTGTTTTTGTATTAAAAATATGTCAGGGGGCGCTTTGACCAATTTGGGTGGTATTCAAACATAAATTTTCTATAAGGAGCGCTTTAACCAAACTTCAAACGTTGTTTTTGTATTAAAAATATGTCAGGGGGCGCTTTGACCAAAATTTGGGGGCGCTTTGACCAAACCTCAAACGTTGTTTTTCTATTAAAAAATATGTCAGGGGGCGCTTTGACCAAAATTTAGGGACGCATTGACCATTATTTCCTATCTAGCTTGTAACACGAGCTTTGATTGGTTACAAAGTCGGGTGTAAATATCCGTGCACCCGACTTGAGCCGGGTGTAAATAAAACGTGACGTCACAATGCATAGTTTTTCTATAATATACTCTTCAAAAAAAGAAACGCATCATAGAATTTTAGTGACACATTGAACATAAAGATTATTTAGTAAAATGATGCATTGATAAAACAGAAATGTGGTAAGCAACAGGAATACTATCTAAATGTCATAATTACTCAACAATTTTAAAATTATAGTCAGTTTAAGACCATTAAAGATCAATATCTGGTATGCCCCCCGCAGACACAAATGATAGCCACAAACGGCATCTAATGGAAGCAAACGTGTGTAATAAAAACTGTATAGGAATACTCTCCCACTCCAAATGTAGAACTTTAGTCAGCTGTTGCAGAGTCTGGGGATGCAAT